AAGAAAGTTAGCTGGGAGAGATGGCGGGCATCTGTAATCCTAGCTACTGAGGAGGCTGAGGCAGGTAAATAATAAATTGGGTTCTAACTTAGTTTTGTTTTGTTTTTTAAAAACGAGCCACTCATTGTCCAGGCTAGAGTGCAGTGGTGTGATCTCAGCTCACTGCCACCTCTGCGTCCCCGGTTCAAGTGATTCTCCTGCCTCACCTTCCCGAGTAGCTGGGATTACAGGTGCCCACCACCTCTCCCACTAACTTTCTATATTTTTAGTAGAGACGGGGTTTCACCATGTTGGCCAGGCTAGTCTTGAACCCCTGACTTCAGGTTATTCGCCCGCCTCGGCCTCCCAAAGTGCTGGGATTACAGGCGTCAAACCACTGCATCCTGCTGGGTATTAATTTGAATAGGAAATAGTGGCCAGTACAGGTGGCTCACGCCTGTAATCCCAGCACTTTGGGAGACCAAGGCGGGTGGATCACGAGGTCAGGAGTCCAAAACCAGCCTGGCCAATATAATGTAGCCACTACTAAAAATATAAAAATTTAGCTGGGTATGGTGGCACGTGCCTGTAGTCCCAGCTACTTGGGGGACTAAGGCAGGAGAATTGCTTGAACCCGGAGGCAGAGGTTGCAGTGAGTCAAGATCACGGCACTGCACTCCAGTCTGGCGACAGTGAGACTCCATCTCAAAAAAAAAAAAGCCAGATGCAGTGGCTCACACCTGTAATCCCAGCACTTTGGGAGGCCAAGGTGGGCAGATTGCTTGAGGCCTGGAGTTTGAGACCAACCTGACCAACATGGCGAAACCCTGCTTCTACAGAAAATAGAAAAAAAATAGCTGGACATGGTGCCATGTGCTTGTAGTCCCAGCTACATGGGAGGCTGCGGGGCAGGAAGATTGCCTGAGCTGGGAAGGTGGAGGCTGCAGTGACTCATTTTTGAGCCACTGCACTCCAGCCTGGGTGACAAAGTAAGAAAGACCTGTCTTAGGGGAGGAAAAAGACATGAAAGTGCAAACTGGATTGGCCCCCTTGTGTTTTGCTGTTAGAATTCCAGGCTGCTTTGACCTTCCCTCAGGGTTTTGTTCTGTGGTCTCAGTGTCTGCCTCACCTTGGGTTGGCCTGGGCCTGCGCCCCGTTGACGTTTGGGCCAGGTCATTCTTTCCTGTGAGGGTCCCCTGGGCACTGTTGGATGTCGAGCAGCACCCCTGGCTTCCACCCGCACATGACAGGCGCACACATCATCCCCACATTTGTAACAACCCAAAATGGTCTCCGGACTTTGGCAAATATCCCCTAGGGGCAAAATCAACCCTGGTTGAGAATCACTGCTCTAGGCAAAGTAGTCAAGAGAGAAAGCTGGGGTGTGTGTGGGTGTGTGTGTGTGGGTGGGTGTGTGTGTGTATGTATACACGTGCATGTGTGGTTTTTTGTTGTTTTTTTTTTTCGGTGTGTGGTTTTTACATAGAACAAGCCTCATGAACAAAGGGCACCACCCCCGGGATACAGAAAATACAAATGTTAACTGGCTGGGGGTTTGGAGTATGTACAATACAATTTCCATAAGTATGAATATTTATCAGCTAGTCATTTGAGTGCATGATGTAAAGAAGCCATCTGTGGAGGCCTTTATGAGAGAGAAGAGGCTAAAAGAAATGTGCAGAATGCTTATTTTTAGAGTCCAATTCTCAGCAAGTTGGCTTCATCCTCTAAAGCTGCCCACTCTGGGTGGTAAGTACCTTACTGGGTTAAGAGAGGCAAGTGCCACATTACTGGGTCCAAATCATCATCATCGTTTTTTTTTTTTTTCTTTGAGACAGAGATTCACTCTGTCACTCAGGCTGGAATGCAGTGGTGTGATCTCAGCTCACTGCAACCTCCGCCTCCCAGGCTCAAGCGATTCTCCTGCCTCAGCCTCCTGAGTAGCTGAGACTACAGGTGCCTGCCACCATGCCCAGCTAATGTTTGTATTTTTAGCAGAAATGGGGTTTCACGATATTGGTCAGGCTGGCCTTGAACTCCTGACCTCAGGTGATCCTACCTGCCTCAGCCTCCCAAAGTACTGGGATTACAGGTGTGAGCACCACACCCAGGTTATGTTACCTTTTTTTTTTAAAGACGGTTTCACTATGTTGGTCAGGCTGGTCTTGAACTCCCAACCTCAGGTGATCCGCCTGCCTTGGCCTCCAAAGTGCTTGGATTACAGGTGTGAGCCACCACGCCCTGCCAATGTTACTTTTTTGATTGACCATTTCCTGTACCTACCAGCACATGGCAGAAGACAATAGATGGGTGAGAATACACAATGAAAATTGTTTTTCTTTCTGCTCCTGCCACCCTGCCCCGGCCCTTTTCCAAGGAATGTTCCTCCATTTCTTCAGTGTCCTTTCTTGGGAAACTTTAGAGAGCAATTTTTTTTCCTTTTTTTGCAACAGGGTCTCACTCTGTTGCCCAGGCCGGAGTACAGTGACACAATCATGGCTTACTGCAACCTTGACCTCCCGGCCCCAAGAGATCCTCCTGCCTCAGCCTCCCAAGTAATTGGGACTACAGGTACGCACCCCCATGCCTGGCTAATGTTTTTGTATTAAAAGATGTCTAGGGCCAGGCGCGGTGGCTCAAGCCTGTAATCCCAGCACTTTGGGAGGCCGAGGCGGGTGGATCACGAGGTCAAGAGATCGAGACCATCCTGGT